AAAATATACATATATTTCTTTATTTATAACATATATGTTTATTTCTTTTAATGTACATAACGCAACAACTAGTTAGATTTATGGTACTATTTGCAAAAAGATGTAATTTTAAGCTGTTTATGAATAAAATATCAAAATCCAAATTAATACATCTTGCTCCGATTTGAAGCAAAATGAAACAGAGCTAAGGAAAGTTGTAACATGTTCTAAAAACAAAGTTATCTATTTTAAAACAGAAATTCATTGCTTTAAAAATAAATTATCTGTTCTAAAATAGATATCTTATATTATTTTTGTTTTTAAGTCAGTAAATTTACTATTAAAAAGCAGTGAATCTGTGTTTTTAAAACAGTAAATTTGTGTTTCAGAACAAATAATTTGTTTTTAAAACAGTGAATTTGTGTTTGTAAAGAAGTGAATATCTATCTATTACAATAAGAAATATTTACAACGCATCCGCGGCCATAGAGCATGAAGATGTGACCTCGGCGTGTGCTTGCACATCGCAGTATTTCGTGGCTGACAAATTTCCTAACCTGAATAGTCGTTAATTTAAAATATTTCGGTTCACGAACCAGAGCGACACTTTTTTCAAATCTTTATTTTTATGCGAAAACGCATCGATTCAGTGTATTTTTATCAAAATTTAAGGTGAACGGACTCGTAACATTTACCGTTGTAATCGTGTTGCAATGGCTGCGTTTAACGGACTCAACAGTTGAGTGTTCGCTGTTATTGGTATATTCTTCTAAATCATCCAATCAGCATTTTAGATCTGGAAGAATACATTAATAGCAGTACGCTTACTTAACTGTTGAGTCCGTTGAACGCAACAATGTACTCTGGCGATGCGGATATTGTCAAAATTTACGTAGATATATTTGAAACCACTTAAAAATATCAAAAAAACATGCACACTTGAAAAAATTATTTTAGAGTTAATAAAATAAAAATATGATAAAAAAAACATTTTATTTGAAAATTTAAAGTAAAAAAGTATATCGTAAATTTACACTTACATGGCTTATCTGAGCACCCTACATATTATTTCTTTTACATGCGGCGCATACACGGTTGATGTAAGACAAACGCAAGCATTGATACCGACTATTTTTGTTCTTCATCTTATTTCTTATCATTTAAAAGATATATGCATTGTTACAACTGTCCTCAATCTCTCCTATTTTAAGTTATAAAAAGATCACTATACTTCTCTCTCTCTCTCTCT